CAGCAGTGAGGCAGAGAAATTGGCGCTCAGGATTAAGACGCATTGCGACAATCAGCAGCAGAAAATGAAAGACGTTTCGGCAGCGGCAGCAGCTGCTTTGATGGATTGATTGATGCTCCAGGCCACATTTTGATTGACAAGTCGCGCGTGGCGGGGGGTGGCAGGGGCATTGTGGGTGCGTCACAGTCACAGTCAAAGTTGAATGGAATGATGAAGTCCTACACCGTCTAGACGGCAAAACCTAAGGCTAAGGCTAAGGCTAAGGCTAATGGTACATGCAACACAATCATACCAATGAGTGTTGTGTGTTGCACGATTTAGGGGACGGGACTCTTGCATTGTCAGCGCAGCAAAGTGGCTTGTTTGAACACCGCTAAGTGCTGCAAAGGCCCACAAATAAGACTTTGGCTTTTGGTCTTTGCCTTTCATGGCATGGCACACCGACAGCAGACAACAAATAGACTTGGCCATCACTAGACAAACACAGCACACAGAGAGAGAGAGGGGAGAGGGAGAGTGAGAGTGCAATGCTGGTGTCTTGAGGGGGTGGAGTATAAATGGAAGACAGCTTATATGTCAGTCAGTCAGAGACATGTGAAAAAGGAAATAAAAAGGAAAGGAAATGAAATAAAAAGGAAAGGAAATAAAAAGGAAAGGAAATAAAGCATAGGCAAAGGCAACGGCCAATCAAAATGCAGATGGTATTAAAATATGTGGCTAATATCCAATAATTAATATCAGACATATCAAATTGGATACTGGTATATATACACATATATACGCGTATCAGCTGGAGCTGATTTTTGCATTCAAATCAAAACAGAGTCGCTGTTAACCAACTATTAGGCATTCAAATTACATATATTAATTTTGTTCCCAATTTAATTATTTAATTATAAACCATTAAGTCGACTTTTATCGTTGCGTCGTTAAATTGCAGCTTAAAAAAAAAAGGAAATAAGGAATAAAGTTTCAGATTTAAAGTTTTTTGTTTTCAAAATATAAGAAATTCGAGCAATTCTTCAAATTCGCGTATTTTTGGACAAATGTACTAAATTTTAAATCACTATATAAAATGTACTAAAATTAAGATCACTGTCTAAAATGTACTAAAATTTAGATCAATAACTAAAATGTACAACATGGTCTAAATGTGAAACATGTTGACCGTAGAGCAGCTTACGCCTACTGTGTAATTTTGCACATGCACTAAATTTTATTTATTAATTAATTTATTTATTTTTAATTATTTATTATTTATTTTATTTATTTATTAAAATTAAAATATTAAAATTAATTGTATGGAGCGCTGGCATTGGGGCTTTCGGCCCATAGTGCAAATTATAAACGCTCTAAACGTAACTTAGGACTTAAAAATAATAATACAAAAGATAAATTGATTGAAGACATATTCAATGGATATTCATTACTTAATCATTATAAAATGCTGAATAAACCAATTCAAAATTAATCTTATCTTTAGGTAATACCACAAAAGTATGCATACATAGGAGTGGGTACACATAGACTTCTCTCTCTGAAGTAGATCCGTCAAAACAAAAAAGCAAAATCGAAACAATGTTAAGACATATCCCAGACTCCCGCTGCTTGGTGTTTAATTAAATGTTTGATTAACTGCTTGTTAAATTCACAATAATCTTCAGGTAATTGCACAGATAATTGTTTAATTTTCTTGAACGAGGAATCTCTGCAGATTATGGCCTGAAAATGTAAAGTGAAATTCCCAATCAGAAATCACCCCAAAAGCAGAGCAGAGCAGGGCAAAGGCTTTTTCGTTGATTGCATACGAGAGACGAGAGCGAATCAAAGGGATGACGAACTTCACCGTAAAGTGACTTCCATTCCATGAGAATGTGCTGGGGAGAAGATGTAAAATGCTGGATAAATGCCACACCGCCCCCGCCCCCCCCCCCCAAAAAAAATAATCGTATTATACGAACATCCTCTGGACTGATGCGGCGGATGGACACACACACACACACACTCGTAGATAGACTCGTTGGGCGATGCGCCCGTCGGTTGTTTGTGGCAAAGACAAACACAATCTCACATCAAATAGCGGGCGGCGAGCCACCAAAAAACGAGAGAAAAAAAAAGAAAATAAAAATGATATAAAAAAGAAGGGGTGGGGGGGTAAAAAGGCAAGAAAAATAAATAATAAGAGCAAGGGGAATGCAGAGAATGCAGGACAAGCAGCGAAAGGCAGCTGTGCAAACAGCAAAATGAGTGAACGTAAGGGGAGGAGGGTATGGGGAAAAGCCCTTGCGGCAATTACCACATGGTCTGGTCTGCTCTGGTCTGGTCGAAAAGCCCATGCCCACCGTCCCCCTGTAATGACAGCCAAAGTGTTAAAAAAGCGCTTTAAAGCGCCACAACAAACACAAAAAAATAAAAAAAGGGAAGAAAGGAGATGGATATGTAGTTGAAGGAGCAGCAGTAGGAGCAGGAGCAGCAGAAGGCGCAGCAGAAGGAGCAGCAGAAGGCGCAGCAGAAGGAGCAGCAGAAAGCGTAACAAAGCCAATCCAAAGGAATGTTCGCTCCCCCCCCGAAAAAGCAGAGCCGATGACAAGCCGTAAATGGGACATGGGACTACGGTTTACGGTTTACGGAATGGGTATTAGTGGTGGCGGCGTCGGCGGCGGCCTTTGGAGACGTCAGCCGAACACTTGTTAAGTCATACGCTCGATTCGGCAGCAAGGCGGCAAAAGTGGTGGCAAAGAGGCTGTCGGGGGGGGAGGGGCGCACAATCTTCGGCGGCCCATCTCTGCTCCATTGCGTTTCAAGTGTTAATTTGACATCCCTGCGGCATAAGCCACAACCCAACCCACTCCATGAGGGGTGGGCAGTGGGGTTTTAGGTGTGTGATATGTGCACTTCCATTGTCCATTGGCATCCTTAGATGGAGGAGAAGAGGCCAGAGACAACAATACAAAGAACACAGAGACAGAGACACAGAGACAGAGAGGCAGAGGCAGAAGTTGATTCAACTTGAGAGTCGAGAGTGCTGATTCTTTTGGCTCAAATGCCGCTCCCTGCTGGCCCAAAGGGCAGCTTCCCCTTGCCCACGTTTTCAAATGTGTCTCTCCTCATCCTGTGCTCTGTGCTCTGTGTGTGTGTGTGTTTTGAAGTAGTTTAAAAGCTTCGAATTCTCCCTATCCGATACCCGAGAACATGTCCTCACCGAGGCACATCGCTTTGGACATTCGCTGTGTGTGGAGTCAGTCACAGACAAGAGTTTTGGGGGGGTGGGGTGGACTCTAATTGGGTAATATAATATATACTTTATTGAAGATTATTGTGATAATTGGTTCTGGTTTGGTTCCAACACACAACAAGTGTGGTTGCACGGGCTCTCGATTCTCGATTCTCGATTGTGTTGGCCGCCTATCGGATCGAGAGGGCTGCACATGATAAGAAATCGATTGCTGTGGGGTTGCATTGTTTTCCATCTATTGATTGAATCAGATTTGGTGGGTTTGGTATCTCTATGGAATTTACAGAGTAATAGTAATATATAATAATAATCGATGCTCAGTGCTCTAAATAAAATAAATTTGTATCATTGATTTGTTCGATGATGAAATCAAATTTCGAATATTATCGATACTTCGTCGATACTGTTATGCTCATACTGCTTTTTACCACTATTTTTAGCAGCAGTTTATCGGAAATCGGAAGTATCGACTAGTTATCGATTTTTACTTGTTTTTACTTGTATTTAATTTGAAAAATTAATTAATTAATTCAAAATAAAAAATTATTCGCGATAATTTTTTGGAACTGAAAATTATTTGGAATTAGTTTTCATATATAATAATTTTTTTTTAGCACTTGCTGCAAAACTCCAAATTTGTCAGTAGCTTTTTTTAGTTGATGAAAAATTAAAAAAAAAACCAATTGATTATTATAGATAAATTGTTTAAAAATATAGCAAATGAATGTTTTAAATTAAGATTTTGTTTGCTCAGTCAATCGATTTTCATTAGTAAATCGCCATAAATGGACTGTCCATGTACCAAGTATCAGCGAAGCTAAATGACAGTGATTGATGGCCGCTGATAGTCCGTTTGTCAGCATAGCTAATCGATTCATCACACACAGACACACAGCCAGACACACACATTATGCAATATTTTTAGGCTACATTAATGCCAAAAATACAATATACAATGTTGTTGTATATTGTATGACAGACAGCAACAGCAGCAGCAGCAGCACAGAGATCCAAAAAACGAACAAACCCCTGACAAAACCAAAACCAAAAGCTCAGACAGAAATCCCCGCAAGGCTTTTTCACGGGAGGGGTTTGTTGTCAGCTTTAAGTCTTGAATGACAATGCATTTACCTGCTCTCATATTCCCAACCTGCCTCCCATACTCTCTCTCTCTAACCCTCAGAGAGAGTGAGTGAGTGAGAGAGAGATGACTCTTTAAGCTGTCGTCGCCATTGGCATCGAAATCGACATCAACGTCAACAAGGGGGCATCGGGGCATCGGTCTCATGACAAACGTTTGTCAAAATTCTTTAAATTGAATTTCAATGGATTTTTCTTTCGCCTGTCAACGGAGGCAAACACAATGCCACACAGACACAGAGTAGAGAGCGCGGGAGAACGGGGTTAAGGGCTAAAAGGTCAGAGGTTACAAGGGTTAGGCAGCTGCTACACAGAACCTCCCGCCCATCCACCCATCCACCTGACATTCAAGCCGTCACACAAAAAGATCTCTCACGCAAAAGTCCAGTCCAAATGGGTTAAAACCTACGCCGAGAATACACTGCAAGAAAACAGTGCTGCATATACATATATATTAAATATACATAAAATAATAGCAGAATTTATGTACCAATTTATGTATTTAGCTAACACAAAAATAAACTCATTTGTGCAGCGTTTCGTGTGTGTTCCAGTGCAGCCCACAATCCACAATAAATATGTACTGATGTATGTATGTATGATATGTACATATATGTATGTATACAAAAAAAAAAAAAAAATAGCCCAAGCTGCGTGTGCCTTAGTGGTTTAGGCGTCCGCCACGTATGCGCCAGGCCAGCTTGATATCTTTTGGTTGGATGTTCTCATGACGGCCGAGCTGCGAGCAAAAAAGTGCCTCCTCAAACAAGCCAGTGGGATCATTTTCATAGGCATGCTGCAAGTGCGAATATGCTCGGTAAATACACACAGGGTAGTGAGTGAGAGAGAGATGAAGATTTTTCTTACATGCACGAGCTCAATGGCGGCAGCTTCGAATGGTTTATGCTGCTGTTGCAACAAGCCCTTGTCAGCCCAGTTGCGTGGCAGCTGTTTGCCTTTGCGTGCATCCATTTTCGTAGTACGAAACTATTTTTCAACTCAAACAAACAAACAAATCGAAACGTTACGACACAGCTTATACGACACAGAAATACTTTCGCCTGCTTTGACTGCTAGAGATTGCCAGACTCCAATCGAGTTGCGTCTCAGCTAGATCAAGCAGAGCAGTCCACACAGTTTCATTGATCCAATTGTAGCTATCCTTCCTGCTTCATTTTTATATGGTATGTAATTAATGATTCTTTCAGTTGGTGGCTGGCAACTGCCTCTGGCCTGCTTCTGCATAGTATTATTGCCAAGCGCTTGGACTCGAACTCAGATTCGGTCAAAGGTTGGCGGTGGCTGCTGCTGCTGCTGCTGCTACACCTCGGTAGTTGTTCTGTTTGTGGTTCCCTGGGTTCCTTGGGTTCTCTGGGGTTCTCTGTGGGTATCTGGGGTTGTCTGGGTTCCCTGTGTTCCCATGGTTTCCCTTGGTTTCACTGGGGTTCCCTGTGCTCCCTGTGCTCTCTGCGTTCCCTGTGTTGTTTTGTTGTTCCTCTCTGTCTCTCTCTCTCTCGCTGTTGATGTTGGCTCTTGGGCGATTATTGTTTTGCATAATGGACAACACTTTGTAGTGCATTAGCGCGTAATTGATTGAATTGAAATTCCAGTTTTCAGTTTTTAGTTTATAGCAAAAACCACACACACACACACGCACACACACACGCACACACACACGCACACACAGATACTTTTTACACACATGTACGCATACGTGCATGTATTTGGAGTCACGGGGCAGCCATTTTTCGTTTATGGCACAGCCCAACAGTCCCTCACTCGCTCTCGCTCGCTCGCTCGTGTATGTGAGTCGCATGGCAAAACATCGAGACTTGGTTAGCGAGCAACAGACCAACAGACCAACAGTGAAAGCAGCAGTCATGGAATTTAAAGTATGTGAACAACACCAGAGAGGAAGAGCAGCTCGAGGGAGAGAGCGGCAGAAAGTAGAGCAGCAGCCAGGAGGCAGCAGGCAGAAGGCAGGGCAGGGCAGGGCATGGCATCGGCAACAAAGCGTTAACATTAAACGCCGCTGCCGCTGCCACTGCCACTGCCGCTGCCACTGCCACTGCCGCTGCCTGTGTACCTCGCTCTCTCTCCCCCTCTCTCTTGTTGCTTTTGACGGCTTTAGTGGTCGGCTAAAATGTCAAAGGCAAAAGCCGGCAACTAAGTGAAAAAAGCACACCCCACCCCCCCGCACCCCACCCCAACGAACGCCCACAATACGGATACGGATACTCTGCTATGTGCAGCCTACTTTTTTGGCCACAGCCTTGACTCGATTGAGGCTGTGTGTGGGGGTGTGGGTGGGGGTGGGGTGGGGTCTGAACATGCCACAAGATTCACAAGATTTAAATTCCAACTATATTGACATATAGAAGATCCCATTCCAGTGAGGCAAATAAACCCAATACAAGATGTACCCCATGCCCACACAGAGCTCTTTCTTATGTTCCATATTCCATATAAATTTCGTTGGATATTTTATAAAATTAAGCACAATTTTCCTGGCACAATATTAATTATTAATATCGGTTTTTTTTGTTGCGAATAAATGCCAGCAAAAATGCCACTAAAGCCCTAAAAAATAAAACAAAAATTAAAAAAAAAAAAAAAAACTTTCGCGCAATATATCTTGAGGCTACTGCCATTAGATCGACTTGCATTAATTATCTTATAAAGGTTCATACAATTCTCAGTTTAGCCAATGAATCTTTTTGAATATAGGCACTGCAAATGTCGAAAAATAAGTTATGACAGTCTAAGAAGTCACGCATTGGCGAATTTTTGGAATTTTAAAAATAGTTTTAAAATATATTTTAAATAAAAAATATGATTATTTGATCTGCACAATCAGACCTACAGCCCACTTGCCCTTATGTGCATAATATATTAAAAATTTTGCATTTACAATTTTACGTGTGAATATCCGAAGTATCTGTCAGAATTGTGGCTCAGATCAGCCAAAGCTCATACAAAAAGGAAAATTTATACTCAAATTTGATTGTGGTTTCAGCTTTAAGCTAACAAAATTGCCAAACATCAAAGAACGTTAAATTTTACTCTTAGCAAAAAAAAAAAAAAACACAACACCAAACGTTGCCCAACTTTTCAGTTAAAATTTTATTCTAAATGGTTTGTGCATTTTGATTTTATTTGATTTGATTTGATTTCGTGTTTTTTCTTACATTTATTTTTCCACTCATATTTTGTGGGATTCGCTCTGTGTGAAGTGGCAGTCAGATGCCAACAAATCGCCGCAAATTAACCGCACAGACAGTCCGACAGGCAGACACGGGACAAGGTGAATTGCTTAAGTAATTAAATGCTTCAGTTATGAGGTTCATATATCTCTCAGATACAGATACAGCACGGCACGGCACGGCATGGCACTTAAGTAATGCCAGATGGCAGCATAAAAATCACAGTCAGAGCTGCAAAAGATGAAAATGAATAAATAAATAAACTTCACAACAATTTCCACTTGGCCAGAGATTGAAAATCGATGGATGTGGTTAAGCGAATGAGCGTGGATGGGGCAGGGGGATGCAATGAAAGGGTAGGCGGAAGGCGGAAGGGAAAGTGAAAGTGAAAGCCAGAGGGGAGAACTGTCATCAAATTCTGAATATTTAATCAGTTCATCATTTCCGCTTTAGTTGAAAGATAAACCAAGAGTGGCGATAGGGAAGAGGGAGTGGCAGTGGGAGACAAAAGCTTTTCCCATGACTAAAAATAAATAATTAAGCTAATTTCTCTCTCTCTGTCTCTCTCTCTGTCTCTGTCTCTCTCTCTCTGTGTCTGCCATGCATGCATCTGCTTCGTGTGTGTGTGTGTGGAGGAGTATCTCTTAAAATGCCATCAAGTCAGGCAGGCAGGGAGGTAGTCAGGGTGGCAGTAGGTGAGGCAGGCGGGGTGTCAGTCAGTGAGGCAGTCAGGGTGGCAGGCGGGCAGGCAGCCGGGGAGTCAGGGAGTCTGCCAGATATCAAGCATATCCCATAACGCAATCGAGAGATCCGCTCCACAAACAAAACTCAATTAAAAATCCATTGATAAAGAGCGCAACTTGCCCCCCCACCGCTTCGCATCCGCACGAAAGGATACGACAGAAAATGGCAGCAATTATATTTTATAATATGAGTAAATATATATAACATGGCAACCAATACGGTGGAGGGGGGGGGAGGCGGCGGGCTAGGATTATCTATGGAGCCACGAAGCCATGGAAGAGCTTACACTGGCTTACCGCCAGCGCTCCCTGCCCCCTGTCCCTCCTCGTCTGTGTCTGTGTAGCAGCAGCAACTGCAGGCACTCCCCCCCATCCACTTTGCCCCACGGAAACATATGCTCGGATGTGGCATTATTTACTACTGAACAGATTGCTGCAGGATCGCAAACGCTCGCGATGCCATCGCCATATGGCCAACAGAATCAGTTTAGCAGTGTGGGGCGGTGGAGGGGCGGGTAGAGGAATATCTGTAAAGGAAAAACTTGATAATAATTAGATTGAAACGGAAATACAGTAGTTGTAGTGGTTGTAGTCCTGTTGGGTTGGGGCTTAGGGCGAGTCCTGGCAACCTTAAGCTCCCTCTCTCTCACTCTCTCCCCGACAGAAAAAAAATCTTTCTTCTTTGCTTCCATTCAAATTGAGCCGCTCAAACGTAGCTGCACTTACGCATTGCTCATTTGATGGATACTTATGTATTTACACTTCCAATTGGGGTTTATGGTGGCAGCTCAGCCTTTAGTTCTTTTATTATTTTGTATTTCAACTGAGTTGCAGGCCAGACGAGCATTTTCTTTGGTCTCTAACACATTTGCTATTTGCCATGCACAAATGTATCTGTATCGCATTGTGTTGTCCTGAGTGGCTGCAGAAATTCAGAAATATAACGTGGATTTAACTGCATGAAGAAATTATTCTGGCAGTCAATTCGGGCAGTGAAAATCCTGCAGATTTCTGTAGTACATTTATGCCCAGCAATTGTTCCGAATAAAAACACAAATAAAATAACTACAAATATAATCAATAATAATAAGAAAAATATTTATACAAAATTTGCAATGCCAAAGTCAAAGTCAAAGCAATTTCTGGCGTATTTTTTTTTTGCTACCTTGATTTCTCTGTGCAAAATTTCCCCCTTAATATTAATCTTTAATTTAAACGTAGCTCTAGCTTTATTCTGTGTGCCCCCACCAACCACCACCCACCACCCACACGCCTGTGCCATGTGGCGGCGGCCCTTCAAATGACCTGCCGACAAATTGCAGTGGCATTCGAAGTGTCGCCAGATGACGCTGCTAGCTGACAGAGAGTCGGCAACAGTCGCCGCCGCCTGTTGCCCTGGTGTGGCAAGTGATGCGTGTGGTGAATGTTGCCACGTTGCCACGATGCCACGATGCCATTGGACGCGAAGCTTCTGCTCCTGGCTGGCTTCTGGTTCCTGCTTATCGGGATTGGGGGTGGTGCCCGGTGCCCGGTCCAGCCACTGCCTCTTGTTGGCACCTCCTGGCTAACAGCCTACTCCCTGCCGCCGCCAGTTGCCACCTGCCTGCCTGCCTGCCTCCAGTTGCTGCCACCTGCCACTGCCACTGCCACTCGCTGCCTCGCTCTTGCCCTCTTGGCCACTTTTGCCATTGCAATGTCCAATGTCCGTTATGTCGGCTTTTATAGGCATCAGACATCCGAGCTGCCTGCTCACTGCTCACTGCTGCGGCTGCGGCTGCTGCTGCGGCTGCTGCTGTTGCTCTTTCGGCCCTTTTTCAACGCCGCAGCTGCAAATCATTTTAATGCGGTTACAGCCCAGGCAACCTTGCCCCTGCAACACCCAACGACCGACACCCACCACCACCAACCCCCCATCCACAACCGCATCATGTAAATAAAAATTATGAAAAGTTGTCGCGGGGCAGGCAGCGCGTGGCAAAAATCCACATAAGTATGCATTTAAAAATAATTTATGGCAAGCAAGAAGGAATGAGATGCAGAGAGGCAGAGACACAGAGAGGCAGAGAGGCAGAGAGGCATGTCCATGTCCGCCTTTAAGCG